CTTATAATAACTTATAATGGAAAAGAAACTTAAAAAGAGTATATATGTAACTGGTAATTCTGCATCATACCCAGGCCCACATTCCCACCGCAAGTGGCTCATCTAGTCCCTGATTTCCATAAGTCTTTGACTCCCAATAGAGGGAGTGCAGCTACTTCCCAACACAGTAGCAGTTTGCCCTGGTGTCTGGTTCTCTCTGACATCTCAAGCCAGAAGCCACAGTTGCCTGTGCCCACCAATGGCCAATCCATTTCCTCTTGAAGCAAGCACTCAGAGTGGTCCTGAGCTTCCTGGGCTTGAGGGAGAGTATAGCTACCCAGCCAAAGCTCCCTGGGCTTGAGGAGAGAGATTGGCTACCCACCTGCCCTCTTGCAAAGGGTCCCACATCACAGCCTCAGCCCTCAACAAAGGCATCTCCCAAGTCCATACTCTCTTCCACTCTTCCAGAATTTTCTTTCTCACTATGGGCCAATTGTCTAGCTGATTCTCAGCCACTTTGGAAAACTGACATTATGGGGACTTCCATTTTAGTACAGTGGATAAAAATCTGCCTGCCAATGCAGGGGACATGGGTTCAAACCCTGATCTGGGAAGATACCACATGCCTTGGGGCAACTGAGCCCATGTGCCACAACTACTGAGGCTGCACTCTAGAGCCTGCAAGCCGCAACTACTAATGTCTGACTTCTGCTCTGTCTGAGGCCCAGCCTTAGTGTTCAGGGGACAGGGAGCTAGACCTGCTAATCAAACCTGACCAGCCACTTCTTAGTCTCATCACCTCAGTGTCCCTCAGTTTCCACCTGAGTATAATGGGAATAAGAGCCTCATAGAGCTTGCCTCCCCTCTCCCCCATCATTCAGCTCCTGCCTTGGCTAACAATTAATTAAGAGTATCAGTTTCAAATATCAGAAATAAACTCATACTGGTTCAGGAAAAAAAAAAAAGGTTTAATTTATTGGACCACCTAAGGATAGATGGCTGCCTGCACAGCAGGACCAGGGGCCAGACAGCTTCATCAGGTGGCCTGCACTTCTCTGACCTCCTGTCTCACATAAATTCCTCCATACAGGTGGTCCCAATGGCCCTAGACTTAGCTCCTTCAGCTCAACAATGCTCACCGAAAAAGGGAGTGATCCTACAAAAATTCAATCAGGATTAATCCTGATTAGGTCATGACTCACCCCTGAATCTACCCCAGTGGCCTGGGTCATGTGCGAAGCCCCAGAACAGAGGTGATCTGGTGATGTGGGGAAAGGGAAGAGATCCACTTGCATCAGTTACTACGTGAACAAGGAGGAGAGAAAATACTAGTTCCTAAGAAAGAAAAGGCAGGACGCTGTTGCCAGGAGAGGAAAAAGGCTGCCAGGCAGGGGACGTGAAGCAGGGAGAACTGAGCCGGGAAGCCAAGAACATTCCTGGGAGGCAGCGGTAAGCCATGGGCTCTGGTCTCCATCCTGGGACCCTGTGTGGTTGTCCTTAGGATGGCACACATTTGGAGCCAACCCGGGGGACTGCGAGAGAAGGAGGGGCCTTTAGACATGACAAGGAAAGATACTCCCTCCAAAGTCCTCAGAAGAAGAGGTTATGGGAAATTCATGCTAAGGCCACCTTAATAAAACCAGAGAATAAAGATGATGCAGATAGGGGAACCCTCCCCCACCTCACAAAGAGGGACGTGGGGTGACTGGGCTGGAATTGACATAAATGTCAGAAACACAGTCTTCCACATGTTTCTCAGCATGGCCTTTATCCTGCTCTGGCCTCTCTATTCCTAAGTGATGAGAGATGACACTTCCTTAGACAGGGCTGATTCTTAAGGTTAATTAAAAGTGGCCTTTCCCGTGAATCATCCATTGCACTGAATTATTAATCACCTGCAGACATTTTCAGGCCTTTAAATACTTGGACTTCCTGCAAACCTCCTTGGAAATGCTTTTTCCAGTGGAAATATGACTTCCTTTTGGCCATGGTAAAGAGAAACATTGTCTGCTGCTGTTTCCAGATTTCCTAGCTCCCAGAGAATCCTAAGCAAGATCTGAAAACAGGAAGTAGGGCTAGGACAGCAGCCAGAACCAGAGGCCATTCTGTTCTGTGGAGCTGGCTCCAGGCCAGCCTGGTCTTAGAACCTCCACAGGACAGTGGACTGAGGGAGACTAACCACAGTGCATGTGGCTGTTGGCGTTGTTCATGGTCATCTCCACAGGAAATGGTCCCCTGGGCCTTGCCTGGGCCTTCAGTGGTCAGTGACCAGAAAGGAATGAGGAGGGCCACGTGTTGGGTCCACCTCCACCACTTATTTGGTGGGCAATGGAAACTTGGATTTGGTTTCCTTGTCTAAAGGGGTGGTCCCTGCAGGGCTGGACAAGGAAGAAGAGTCATAGTACTTCATTTTGAAGGATAAGCAGTGGGGAAGGATAGTGGGCCCGAATATCTCAGGCAGGGAGTGAAAGTAAAAGTGTTAGTTGCTCAGTGGTGTCCGACTCTTTGTCATCTCATGGACTGTATCCTGCCAGGCTCCTCTGTCCATGGAATTCTCCAGGCAAGAATACTGGAGTGGGTAGCCATTCTCTTCTCCAGGGGATCTTCCCAACCCAGAGGTCAAACCTGGGTCTCCAACTTTGCAGAATCTTCACAGTATGAGCCATCAAGAGAGGGCAGTATAATGAGATGGTACCCAGGGCCAGACTGCCAACGCAGGAGACAGGAGATGCAGGTTTGATCCCTGGGTTCAGAAGATCCCCTGGAGGAGGGCAGGGCAACCCGCTCACTCCAGTATTTTTGCCTGGAGAATCCCCAGGGACAGAGAAGCCTGGTGAACTCTGGTCCATAGGGTCAGAGAGTTGGACATGACTGAAGTGACTTAGCACACACTCACGCATGCACATATCCAGTTCAGTAGCAGCACTGCCAGAAATAGTTCCATCAGTCTGGACCTTGAGCACAGCAGAGGAATGGGGGGATATGGGGTGTCCATGTGGGTGAGAATGGAGAGAGGAACCTGGAAGACATAAGCTGAGGGCAGGAGTATAAGATCGAATCTAAACTGCAGAGAAGAATTTGAGGAGGTGAGGCGTAATGAAGACCTGGGCAAAGTTCTTGATGGAGACGAAGATGGATGGAGGAGGAAGAGCTGGCAGGACTTGGTGACTGCTTGGGTGTGACTGGTGAGACAAGGAGGCCAAGGAGGGTGATGGGGCCCTGGGATGGTATAGCACAGGGCTGGGAGAGGATGGGCAGCTCTAAGCCTGGCATAGACTAGCCACAGGCATAGCCTTTTCCAGAAGCAGCTACTTCCCCATCCCACATTCAGAAGATCCCCAGGAAACTCAGGCCCAACTGTGGAGGTGGCCAACCTGAATTTGTGCCATGCCCATCAGGGAGGGATGGTCGGGCAGGCAGGACAGTCACAGGTCAACGGGGAGCAGGTGTGCAGTGGTAATAAGACAGCTGGAGGGTTTCCATCTGAGGGACTGGCTAGTTGTCTGGTCCCAGCCTGGGAGTGTCCAGAGCTCTAGACAGCAAGAGGGAGGAGAATATAAGCCATCTCTCCCTGAGGGCTGCCCAGACTGTGTGCTCAGCATAATAATGGCTCCAAAAATGTCCACTCCTTAGTTACTGGAATCCGGTTACTTTACCTGGAAAAGGGGACATTGTAAATATGATTAAGTTAAGGACCTTGAGATGCAGAGATTATCAAGGATTATCTGTGTGGGTCCCACGAAATCACAAAGGTTCTTATAAGAAAGAGGGAGGCAGAACCTATGGTTAATTAATCTATGACAAAAGAGGCAAGAAAATACAGTAGAGAAACGAGTCTCAAAGTGGTGCTGGGAAAACTGGACAGCTGCATGTAAAAGAATGAAATTAGAACATTCTCTAGCACCTTACAGAAAAGTAAACTCAAAATGGATCAAAGTTCTAAATGTAAGGCTGGACACTATAAAACTCTTAGAGGAAAACATAGGCAGAACACTCTGACATTAATTGCAACAGTATCTTTTTGGATCTACCTCCTAGAGTAATGAGAATAAAAACAAAAATAAATAAATGGGACCTAAATTAAACTCAGAAGTTTCTGCATAGCAAAGGAAACCATAAACAAAAAGTAAAAAGACAACCCACAGAATGAGAGAAAATATTTGCAAGAAAAGCGACTGAGAGGGAATTAATCTCCAAAATATACATATAGCTCATGCAGCTCTATGTGAAAAAATCAAACAACCCAATCAAAAAATGGGTAGATCTAAATAGACATTTTTCCGAAGGCAACATATAACTATCATATAAAAGTACATGAAAAGATGCTCAACAGTTCTAACTAGCAGAGAAATGCAAGTCAAATCAAATGAGGTATCACCTTACACCGGTCAGAATGGCCATCATCAAAAAGTCTGCAAACAGGTGCTGGAGAGAGTGTGGAGAAAAGGGAACCCTCCTACACAGCTGGTGCCGCGTGGGAGCAAGGTCCAGGCTCCGGCTCTGTCTTTGGACACAAGCTTCAAAGCCCCCAAATAACAAGACCCACCTCCTTCCCCCACAAACAACTTCCTTTCCTTCTCCACTTACAGATTCTTTGAGGTCTAAGCTCCCTACAGGGAGGTTGTGCGGGTGCCTAGAGTGAGCATCCTTGACGGGGTGGGGGACGGGTGCACGCCGGCTTAGGGCATTCTTGGACGAGCACAGCGCAAGACAAGGTCGTCAGGGGTGAAAAGCCAGCAGAGGAGGTTTTAGCTCTGCGCCTTAACCGCACCGAGCCCCAGGCCCCCAGCCCTGAGCGGAGCCCTTGGGTTCCAGCAGCGCAGGGCGGACCCCGCGCCCCTCCTGAGCCACTATCCCGGCCTGGCCGGGCGGAGCCGCGGCCTCTGGGAGCTGGGTTTGTGCCTCGCGCCGTCCGCCGCTAACCCAAGCGCCACGAGGTACCGCCCTCTGCCTCCACCCCCACCCCCTCCTTCCCGCTCAGCGCTTCAAAACCGCCTGGCCGCGGCTGAAGGCGCAGGCACCGGCGAGATCAAGCTCCGGGCCCGCGCCCCCGACGGCCGGCCAGAGCAGCCCCATGGCAGGTAAGGGTTCTCGCCTCCCCTCCCACGCCCCGGCGCCGCGCGGCGCCCCTTTGCCACCCGCTGGGGCGCCGCCTCTGCTCCGCTTCCCGCTCCTAGCAGGGTGGGGGGACAGAGTTGAGGCCCACCCCACGTAGATAGTTGCGGGTCAGGAGGTGTGGGTGTCTTTCCTTCTCACAGCCCAACCCAGTCTTGATCCCCGGGTCGGGGAGCACGGGGCCTCAAGCTGACCCAAAGGAGGGACATTCCTCGCCTAGTGCGGGATGGAGGGGCAGAGCTCTCTCAGTTATTTCAGAGGGAAGCCTCCCAGGGCTGGGCAAGTGTGGGAGCAGCTACTGGCAGCAAAATGCCAGTGTGTCTTGGTTTCTCACACTCGCTGCTCCCGTCCTCATCCACACACCCCTCCACCGCCTCCCACCAACTCCGCTCGTTGTGAGCTTGCTGTGATAGAAGGCTGAGGGGAGGGAGGGGTTTTTAGAGAAAGTTACAGAATTAAAGCAAGAGCCCAACCTCTCAGCAGGTTCCAGGACCCAAAGAATAGGGCTCTGAATGCCACCCAGGGCATCATCCCTTCCCTGGCTTTCCTTAAGCGCATGCTGCCCGCCACCCTCAAGCCTGAACAGGAGTCCAGGGAAGATGGAGGTTCTAAGAGAAGGCTTAATTTCTACACAGAAGCACAAGGAAAAATGGTTCATTTTACTCAAAATTCCAAGTCCAGAACCAGACAGCCCTGTCCAGGGCACTAGGACCTCAAGAGCAATGGCTTTTCCCCTGAGACCCAGCAGAGCTGAGCCAGCAGCACCCTTCCCCAGCAGATACATGAGGACATGAGCCCCGCTTCCGTGTCATTCCTGGGATCCAACCCAGGGAGGTGGGGTTGCTACCCAAATTCTGTCTCCAGAATGCCAGTGGTGTGAAGGGGAGTGGCTTCCCCCAGGCATCACAGTACTGCTGGTGTCTGCCCCCAGAGCAGGTGGCCCTGGTGATTGGGGGCATCCTTGGGGGGCTGCTGCTGCTGCTGCTGTTGATTGGGGTGAGCTACTATCTCTGGAAGAAACTCTGTGCCACGTTCACCTATGAGGAGCTGTCAGGGACCACAGCTGCTTCCAGCGCACAGGGAGACACGATCTGCCCCCCGGATGCCAGGACCCAGGCAAGCAGGTGAGGCAGGATGTGGGGCCGAGGGAGCTCCTGGCCTTGCTTCAGGCCCTCCCTGGGGAGTTTCTCTTGGAGTGGGGAGGAGAAGGAAAGGTCTGTTTGTTTATGGAGCACCTCCTCTATGCTGTCAGCAGGCCAGGAGCAATCACAAAGAAACCCCAGAATCTGAGCCACAGCTATGAGGCAGGTGTTATGAAGCCCATTTTCCAGCTGAGGAAATTGAGGCTCAATGGACGTAAGTCCAGATAGCACAACTAGAAAGTGGCAGAACAGGCATTCAAACTCAGGCAGGCTGACTCCAGGAGCTGCGCTCCTACTCCAGCTCACCACGGCTGTGGGCAGATGGAGGAGCTGGCTGTGTGTGTGTCCCCTGGTGTGGGACCAGAAAGCGGCGCTCTTGCCTCCCCCAGCTTCTGCTGGCTTTTTCTCCTCTGGTTCCTGACACTTAAGCTCTCTGGGCTGAACACTCTGAAGCCATACCATTCACTTGCCAACTATTTGTCATCTCCTGCCTCTGGACAGGCCACCAGGTGTACCATTTGTGGTGCCCCCTTCCCTCCAAAGCCGAGACTGGGTACCCCTGAACAGCGGAGAGTGGGCCCAGGTCCCACAGGACCCCTACCCAGCCCTGAAGCTCCTGCCCCACACCACCAGCAGCAATCTTGGTGAGTGTGCCCACCAGGGCCTGCCCAGGGGTCATGGTGTGCCCAGGCCAGGACAGACCCATCTGCTTTCATGGGCCTGGCTCCTGAAGAGTCCAAATGGGACCCAGGATGCCAGAGTTGCCCAGTGACCACTCTTTCCGGGTATTTCGGTTTACCAATGCCTGCTGCATGCCAGTCTGGGCTAGTCGTGTGCCATTTTGGAGTTATACCATGGCTGGGGGAATCACCCCACTTTACACATTAATAAACTGAGGCTTAGGAGGGTAACAGTGCCATGCCCTAGGTCACAGAGGCAGTAAGCAACAAATGTGGGATTGGAAACCCAGTGTTCCCAGGTGCAGCACTTGGGCTGGGTCCTCCTCCAGGATGATGGGTTGGCCAATCCAGAGAACAGAATGCTGGGAGCTGGACACACAGCTTTCTGCCTACTTCCTTGCTCTGAAGACCTTCCTAAGAATCACCCAGTAATTAGCTAAGCCCTTATAATTTAAAGAGGAAGAAAAAAGGCAACATCTTATCACTGAGACATCCTCTGGGACACCACAGAAAGGAGCCAGGCCAGATGCTGGGCACTGCACCCACACTGCTGGCCCTGATCTCTGGGGGTGGGAGTCAGTCATGGGGACAGGGTTGAATGAATACTATGTCCTCTGCTAGGAGTCCCAGGAGGAGCAGGCCTGGATGTAGAATGCCTTAGTGCTGAGAATGCGTCCTGCAGAGCTGCACTAGAGAGAGGGGCTCTGTTTAGTCTGGAGAAGAGACTGGGGCGAATGTGATCAGGAGAAGCCAGTGAATTACCTTGTCAAGACTCAGCCAAGAAGGGCTGGGCAGGGAGGGGGCAGTAGAGCCAGAGCTTCGGTCCCCATGCCCCTGCCTTCCCCTGGCCTGCCAGTCTTCCCAGTCCCTGTGTTGTAGGAGATGCATGCGTGGCAGGGACCATCAACCCTGAGCTCTACAAGATCCCAGAGGACAAAAGTGAGGCTGACTTCCCTGAGGGCTGCCTGGGACGGCTGTGGTTCTCTGTGGAATACCAGCAGGAGGCCGAGCGGCTGCTGGTGGGCCTGATCAAGGCGCAGCGGCTGCACACCCCCTCAGAGAACTGTGGCCTCCTGGTGAAGCTCCACCTGCTGCCGGATGAGCGGCGCTTCCTCCAATCTAAGACCAAACGCAGAACCAGCAGTCCACAGTTCGACGAACAGTTCATCTTTCAGGTATGACCTCTGAGCGGACAGGGTCCGGGACCCTTTGCCTCCTGGGAAGGACAGACGTTGTGCAGGAGAGCCCCAGCCTCCGATGCTCACCAGGGCCCTGCAGCCCCCAGGGACCCCCTACCACAGGCTCTTCTCTACCCTGCCTTGATGGTGGGGGCAGGTGAGAGACTTGAAGGATGAGGGGGCAGAGGGCTGGGCTCCTCCTGTACAGGTTGCCTGGAGGGGAGAAAGAGAAACATATTCTTGGAGCACCCACTGAATGCCAGGCCCTGGCTTATGGTACTCAGGAAGGCAGCCAAGACCCTGGAACATGATGAGATTTCTGACATGGTTATCCATGGAAGGTGGAGGGTGAGACGCCCCTCAACTCAGGCCTCTTGGGGTGGGGACCAGAACTCACCCGTCCTGTCAGAGGCCAGCGCAGGACCCGAGAGCCATCTTGAGACAGCTGGTACCTCTGCAGCATGGCGGGTAGGTGAGTTCAGGGTCCTGAGGTGCTGAGGTGATGAGGCGCTGAGCCAAGCGCACAGTGGCCTTGGGAGCCTCAGCAGGTGACTGGGGCCCTTATGAGAAGCCAGCAGTCAAGAGCTCCCAAGAGGCCTTGGACAAACATTTTTAAGAGCAGGGCAGGAAGCTGACTGGCAAGCTAAGGAGAAGCCTCTCTGCAACTGGGAAGAGTGTGATTTCTACCTTCTTCCGGGGCTGAGCCCTGAGAAGAGGGGTGGCATGGGGCCCAGCCCAAGGCCGTCCTGCTGGGCTCAGGCTGTGAGAATTCACAGGTGAACCTGCTCCTCTGGGAACCTCAAAATCCAAGGTGGGGAGGCTTGAATCATTCCCTGCCCTGTGCCTGCACCAACCTTACCTTGGGTTCTCTGTGCTTCCCTCTTTAAGGAAGAGAAAGAGAAGAAAATCAAATTTAATTAACCATCTCCCATAAGCCAGGCCCTTTGATTGGGGTTTTATAACCCAGAGAGTAAGAACAATTATCCCATCTTACAGGGGAGGAGACTGAGTCTCAGGGAGAGGACTGTTCAGGTGCCAAATTCAGATAGCAGACACAGAGGGTTCCCTGGGCTCCAGTGTGGGAACCTCTCACACTTTTAGTGTAGGCAACTCACTTGGATGCCTGTTAGATGGTAGATTCTGCTTCGTGGGTCTGGGTGGAGCCGAAGGTCCTGCATTTCTAACAAGGTCCCAGGGGTGGTGGGTGCTGCTGGTTCTGGGACCACATTTGTCTGGCAAGGCTCTGGCACAGCCTCCCACCTCCTGGGGACACTGGCCCCACTGCGGCAAAGGGTCCCCAGAGGATACCTGGGTTTGGGGTGTGCAGGTTTCTGGTTGAGACACCCCTCATGGAAAGATTCTGTTTCCAGAACAACATATCACACCTTCCCATCCCCTGACCCTACCTGACTCCAGCCGGGCCCTCATCTCTCCAAGGTATCCAGCAAGAGCGTCACCCAGAGGGTGCTGAGATTCTCAGTGTACCTCGTGGACAGGCAGAGGAAGCATCAACTCCTTGGCCAGGTGCTGTTCCCCCTCAAGAAGGAGACACTGGCGGGCAACTGCCGGCACATCCTCTGGAGAGACCTGGAAGCCGAGAGCCTGGAGGTAAAGGTTAGGGTCACCAGACACATGCCAGACTACTATGAGCCTGACTACCATAGACAGCCAGCAGGTGTGGCCCAGCAGAATACTGTCCACCACCCCTACAAGTGTGACTCGCGGTGGTGAGCCCAGGCCAGAGCTGCATGGGACAATGGAGGTGCAACTGAGGCTCTTTTGGCCTGGAGATTACTTGGAGCATCCTGGAAAAACCACATTTGGATTCCAACCCAGATCAGATTGCTATGAAAGCTGACACCTCAAATGGACCTGCCAAGGAAATTACCCACTCTTCCCCCAACACCCTCCCCCCACCCCATGAGGATGACTCAGAATAGGCCTTGGAATTCCCCATTCCTAGGATTGAATCCCTAAGCTCTGGTCCTTACTGTGTGATCTTCAGCAGGCCCCTTCAACTCCCTAGACCTCAGTTTCCCCATCTGTAAAATGGTGGGTGAGCTTCAAGGAGGGAGTGTGGCTATGTCATGAGTACCCCAGGTCTGCCTGCCAGGAGGAAGGAGGAAGGCATGGGGGCCTCCAGTACCTACCTGGGGTGCTTTCCTCTTGGCTTCTCCAGCCTCCCTCCGAATTTGGTGACCTCCAGTTCTGCCTCAGCTACAATGACCGTCTGAACCGCCTCACCGTGGTCGTGCTGCGAGCCAAGGGACTCCGGCTCCGGGAGAACACGAGTTTTGTCAGTAAGGTTTCCCCCTGGGGCAGGGCCCACCCCATGATCTTGGAGCCTGGAGCTAGAGTCTGGCCCTCAACCCTGGCCATCCAGTTTCTGCTTGCATGTGCTACCAGGAGCATTGCTGCCTCCCAAGCCATGTCCTCCCTCTCTACACAACTGGGGTGTGAGAAATTGCTTCCTTATGTTGATCCCGAGGCTGCAGCCCCTTGGCCTTCACCAAGACCCCTAAGAACCCTGAGACCAAGTCTGCCCCTCCCTTTGCCCAAAGCAGTGCCTCGGCTGCTGTACTGTGCTGTCTGTCCCCAGCCCTGCCCCTCTGCAAAGCAAGGGCTCCCCCCAGGGCAGGGAGCAGTGAACAGGGTGTCCCTGCATGCAGAGCTTGACACTCGGCTAGAACTCAGGAGCTGGAGGAATGGGGACCCTGCTCTGGCTCACCCTAAATGTCCAGCCCCATTGTGGGGCCCCCGGCAAGGGGGTGGCTGTCTGCCCCTTGTGCGTCTCTGCATTTGGGTCACTATAAGCAAGCTGGCATTCAGCCTTCCACTGTGGGTTCAAAACCGATCTAATAGCAACTCCCCCCAAAAAAAACCAAAAAACTTGACCTCTGAATGGGGTGTTTAAGGGCCCCAGGAGGCCTGGGCACCCAGCAAGCAGGATCCACCCCACAATGGGGACGGATGGGCGTGTGGTGCCAGGCTCCAGTAACAAGGGCCAGCCAAACCTCGGGTGCGTTCAGGAGGCAGAGAGGAAGGAAGAGGAAGGGAGCTGAGCATTTCCTTGGCTGTAGGCAGTACGCTAATCAACACCATTTCCTCTTGTAACGCCCTTTGGCTGCAGCAGTTGTGAGTAATGGGGTCCTGGCACCCAGGCGAGGCGTGTGCCCTCCCACCCCAGGCTCCCACAGGCAGGAGGCTGGGCCCCTTGCCTGTCCCTCCCAGCCTGCAGTCTGTCCTGCCCCTCAGGTGTGTTTGTCAAAGTGTCTCTGATGAACCACAACAAGTTTGTCAAGTGCAAGAAGACGTCGGCTGTGCTGGGCTCCACCAACCCTGTGTACAGTGAGACCTTCAGCTTCAAAGCCAACCCCGCTGAGCTGGACACTGCGAGCCTCAGCCTGACCGTGCTGCAGAGTGCCGAAGGGGACAGTAAGGCTGCTCCCTCACTGTCAGGCTGAGGGCCTTGGGCTAAGGAGGGGCTGCTGTGCATTCAGGAAGCGTGGACCCTTTGGAGGGAGCTGTATGGTTTCTGTTCTGTGCCTAAGGAAACTAGCGCTCAGAGAGGCTAAGATATTTATTTACCCAAGGACACGGAGCTTGCTAGTGAGATAGTTGGAGCTCACACCCAGCTTTAATCTGGTGTCATTGTCCATAGCACCCTAGAAAGAGGTTAAAGGATGGCCCCTGCTACTCTGTCCTGGGGCAAATCGCCGGAGAGGTTGGGAGACAGCACAGCTACCTGCGCTGGCCAAGCGACCTGGTGCTGTGGGTCCTTATGTACCCTCTGCACAAGCCTGGAGGGTCCTGGGTGAGGTTCAGGGTGGATGAGAGGGTGGAGTATCCCACGCTGCCCCTCACTCCAGGGTCCACTGTCACTGAGGCAGAGCTGTCGGGTCAGCTGGTCTCATGGGTCAGAGCTTAGGCCCCTTCTCCATTGTGATAGTCGGTAAAAGGCGAAAATTATTGTTGAATGTTCCTGCTGAATATACAAGTTGACTGAGGGAAGAGGGCTTCTTTCTGGAGGGGCCCCTTCCTCCCTTGGCTCTTTGATGTGAGGCAGTTTGATGGCCCACCAGGAGGATGGGGGGCAGAGTGGGTGCCCACACCAAAGGGCAGGCTCTTTACCTGGGCTCCCTTCCCCATCAGCTCCAGCTCCAGAGCAAAGTCAGGACCCCTTTGGAGGCTGTTAAAGAGGGAGGGGGCTGGCTACTTCCTTTAAGAGGAGTGAGTAAGAGAGAGGGAAGGCCCTGGGGATGGCTTAGGTGATGGGGCTTCTGTTCTTCAGAGAATGACCATGTTCTCCCTCCCCCGCAGGGAGTCACGAGCTGGGCCGAGTGGTGGTGGGCCCCTACATGTACACCCGCGGCAGAGAACTGGAGCACTGGAATGAGATGCTTAGCAAACCCAAGGAGTTGGTGAAACGCTGGCATGCACTTTGCTGCACCACTGAGCCCTAACCAGGGCGGGGAACTCAGGTCTGCTCCAGAAATTCTCTCTTCCCATAGCCATGCCTGCCACAAGCCAAGCGACAAGCTTGAACACTGCATCCAGCATCTCACGGGGCTTCAGGGCCACCCTGAGCTGGGGGAATATGTATGTTGATGTATAGGAGAGAAGAGGGGACAAGAGAGCCCTGGCCTGGGCAGTCGTGTGACTGGTGGGTTACATCTCAGCAGCCCGAGAGGCTCTTCTTGACTTACTCTCTCCTTCTTTGCCCATGGGGCTGCCTGGGCTTAGAATCCTGGCTCCTGGTCATCCCAGTCTTGAATTGGACTGGAAACTCAGACATTGAGAAGAAATAGTCTCTTTAGTGAAAGCGTAGCTGTACATGTGTGGAGTGCCGTGGAAACTTGGAAAGCTGATGATGTGTTAATATTCAGCCTACACTTTTTTCTGCTGTTGTTTCTCTACCTTCTGCCTGGCAGAGAAGACAAGTTGTCTAAAGGGTTTACTTCAGTTGGTTCGCAATAAATATCAGGTTGGTACAATAGTAATTGCAGTTTCGGACTATGAATTTTAAATCATTATAACTAGGCTCAGACACATCTTATTAATCAAAATAGGAACCATTAATCAACACATTTTTACAAATGAAAAATAAGTTTGTTTATTCCTACAGCATAAAAATTCGTGCTTTGGGATTCAGTGAACTCTTGGAAAGCATTTTCTGTCTCCTGCTGATTGTGGGAGTGTTTTCCCTGCAAAAAATTGTCAAGAGATTCTTGAAGAAGTGGTAGTCAGTAGATGAGAGGTCAGGTGAATATGGTGGATGAGGCAAAATTTCATAGCCCAATTCGTTCAACTTTTGAAATGTTGGTTGTGTGACATGCGGTTGGGCATTGTCATGGAGAAGAATCGGGCCCTTTCTGTTGACCAGTGCTGGCTACAGACGTTGGAATTTTCAGTGCATATCATCCATTTGCTGAGCACACTTTTCAGATGTAATGGTTTTGCTGGGATTCAGAAAACTGTAGTGGATCAGACTGGCAGCAGACCACCAGTGACCATGACCTTTTTTTGCTGGAAGTTTGGCTTTGGGAAGTGCTTTGGGGCTTCTTCTCAGGCCACCCACTGAGCTGGTTGTCACCAGTTGTCATATCAAATCCACTTTTTGTCACATGTCAGAATCTGATAGAGAAATCGTTCATTGTTGTTATGTAGAATATGTGAAGACAACACTCCAAAACGATGATTTTTTTTTTTTCGGTCAGCTCAGGAGGCACTTACTTATCGAGCTTTTTCACCTTTCCAGTTTGCCTCAAATCCAAATGACAGTAGAATGGTCAATGTTGAGTTCTTGGGCAACTTCTCATGTAGTTGTAAGAGAATCAGTTTCAGTGATTGCTCTTAATTGGTCTTTGTCAGCTTCCAATGGTCACCCACTACACTCCTTATCTTCAAGGTTCTCGTCTCCTTTGCAAAACTTCTTGAACCACTACTACACTGTATGTTCATTAGCAGTTCCTAGGTCAAATGTGTTGCTGATGTTTCGAGCTGTCTCTGGTTATTTACGACCCATTTTGCTCTTGAACAACAAAAAAAAATCACTTGAATCTGCTTTTTCTGTAACATCATTTCTATAGTCATTTCTATATAAATATAAAATATACAGCAAATAATATCATTAGCAAAAAAACATAAAGTGAGAAATGCACATTAAAATTATGTATAACATAACCACATTTATTTAAGAATGTATTCCAATATCAAACGGCAAAGTTCAACAATGTAAAATCGCAGTTACTTTTTGCACCAACCTAATATAATAGCATAGTCTGACAACTGGTTTGGGCATGTAAGTGTGGAACAGCCCCAGGATGCCTGGGCAGCATGGCTTGGAAGAGAAGGCTCTTGGGGATCAAGACTCACTGGCTTCACACCTGCAGGAGAATGCTGTGAACAGCCCACCCAGGTACCAAGTGGTGGACAGGTTTTTGTCATCTGCTCTTGGGGCTCTCACTTTGGGTAAGAAATGGTGAAAGCACATGGCTAAAGCATAGCCCATAGGGCTGAAATCTTTGCCTGTAAACCTAGCAGATCCATTATAATTACTGTGTTGTGGTAGGTGTCAGTGTAAACTTCACTAAGATGGAAGTTCCCACAAACCACAGTCATCGATTTCCTATGAAGACGTAATCAAAGTCACCAGCAGCCCTTCTGCTTGTCACTGATAACTGTTACCAAGCAGTTATCATTTTCACCTGAATACTACTAAACTTGCAGATTCAAGCCTTGTTTCTGTGTAACTGAACTAACACTTAAATGGTATCTTCTCTTTTCTTACACAGTGAAGCAACTTCTGCAAAAGAAAGTAGTGAAATGTTGCTTCTTTGACTTCACCTCCAATCTCTGCCAATGCACAAATATAAGCTTTGCTGCTAGTGGTCTGTATGCACAGAATACCTTGTGTTTGCTTTTCCTTACTTATTTCACAATTTTTAACATAATCGATACTGCAGTAATTTCTAATAGTATCACAGCGCACATGTAATAGGCATTCTCTATGTGTTTGTATGGGACTTCCCTGGTGGCTTAGTGGTAAAGAATCCACCTGCCAATGCAGGAGACATGGGTTCAATCCCTGATCCAGGAAGACCCCCTGAAGAAGGAAATGGCAACCCACTCCAGTATTCTTGCCTGGAGAACCCCATGGACAGAGGAGCCTGGTGGGCTACCGGCCATGGGGTCACAAAGAGTTGAATGTCAGACACCGCTTAGTGACTAAACAACAACAATGTGTTTGTATAGTCAGCTACTAAAATGGGACTATTCCCCTTTCTCTTTGGGTCCTGAGACTATAGGTGCCAACTACCCCCACATTTCAAGGGGAGGTTCATGTCTATCAGTGACCTTTCCAGGGTCACTTGGAAAATTTGGTAAATATGCCCTTTGCAGGACAGAATGGACAGATATGTCTGACTCACAGTTGAAAATTTTCAATGGCAAGAGACAGGCAGGCTCTCTGCTCTGATGGGGAGGTGGGGGATGCTATAGTGGGTTGGCCCCTGTTTACATATCCAGTCAGGGCAAAAAATACACAGTGCCTCCCATGGCCCTAAGACAGCAGGTCTCAATCCTGTCCACAAGGTGATCCAAGCAGAATGAAGCCCTTGGCATTTTCATAAAACATTTAGAATCAGTTTCTTAATTTCTACACCAAAAAAGTACTAGAATTTGGTTGGACTTTCCATTGAACATACAGATCAGTTTGGGGAAAATTTAGTGTCTTTAAAATGTTGAATCTTCAGCCCATTAACATGGTGTATTACATGTGTATAACATAGTGTATCCCTCCATTTCTTTAGGACTTTTGAAAGTTTCTTTAAACTTGTTTTGTGGTTTTACAGGAAAGTGTAAAAGTTTATATTCTCTTGGATTTACTCTTAGGTTTTTTACATTTGTTTCTAGTATAAAAATTCTATTGATTTTTGTACATTGACTTTGTACCTAGTGAGTAGCCTTGCTAAAGTCACTTGTAATTGTTTGTAGATGCTTTGTATTTTCTTTGTATATAGTAATGACCTCTGTGAATGATAGTTTTACTTCTTCCTTTACAATCTTCTTGCCTTCTTTATCTCTTGCAAAATTGTGGTGGCTGGGTGATTGGACAGGAAAAGGAAATAAAAGGAATCCAGATCATGAAGGAAGAAGTAAAACTATATTTATTTGCAGATAGCATGGTTTTGCAGAGAAGGAAATAGCAACCCATTCCAGTATTCTTGCCTTGAGAATCCTGTGGACAGAGGAGCCTGGTCTATGGGGTCTCACAGAGTCGGACACGACTGAAGCAACTTAGCATGCATGCATCCATTGGAAAAGGAAATGGCAACCCACTCCAGAATTCTTGCCTGGAGAATCCCAGGGACAAAGGAACCTGGTGGGCTGCCATCTATGGGGTCACACAAAGTTGGACATGACTGAAGTAACTTGGCGGCAGCAGCGGCAACATGGCTTTGTGTATAGAAAATCCTGAGAAACCCACCAAAAAATTTTGTGAATATAAAATTCTAGATTAACATTTCTTTTTCTTTCAACAGCTTTAAAATATCATTCAAGTTCCAGAATTTCTTTTTTATTTGGCTGCGCCACGTGACTTGCCTAGTTCCCTGACCAGGGAATGAACCTGAGCTCTAACCACTGAACAACCAGAGAATTCTCCAGACTTTCTTTGCTGTGTTTTGCTTCTATCTAGCATCTTGGCCCCTCCAATGCAGCTGCCTTGGCAACTTCAATCTCCAACATCTTGTCTGTTCAGCTCCAGAGACTCTGCTTCCTTTTCTACCTCTTAACCCATGGCCTTCTGTCCAAATGCTCAGCAAGTTTCCTAAAGGGAAAAGTGGTTCACAAAATGTCAGCTCATCCCTTGTGTTTTCCTTCTTCTGAGATCATGGCCCATCAAATGCTTGTTGACTTGGCAGCTCTTTAGCAAAGAAGTTTTCTGTATTTCATTCAGGTTTTCTAATTCTCAGCATGAACATAACTCTGACTCAAGCAGAAAAATCATTATTTTCTCAGAATTCTTCTCCCAGAGAAAGAACTCACAGCAAAGAGTGATTTTATACAGGAAATTTGATGACACAAGTTACATAGCCTTCTTAGCGGACCGATGAAGCCAAAAGGAGAAAAGTTGCTTGTATCGGTTGGCTGTTTTTGGAAAAATGGTGCATAACAAAGAATCTCAACATCTTAGTGTTCTACTAAATAGAGCATGTATTTCTCACACATCTGTGGATCAGCTGAATATGGGGTGGTCTAGATTAGGCAACTCACTTTCAACCTGTGCATCTGACCAGGCTCATGTCCTCACCTAGGCCTGCTCCATGTTTGTTCATTCTGAGCACAAGCTGAAGGGGCAGCAGCTACCCAGGGAAAGCTTTTCTTATTGGGAAGGCAGAAGAAGGACAAACACATTTCTACCTTCAGCTTGTGCTGTGTCACCTAATATCCTATTAGCTGAAGTAAGTCATGTAGCCAAGTTTCCAAATCAAGGGGCAGGGTAAACTACACCTTTTTGTGAGAGGAGCTGCAAAGCACCATGGCAATAGATACAGCTACAGGGAGAGGTTAAGGACTGGGGTGATAACTCAGTGTACCATACTGATGTTTCCGAGAAAAGGGTAACTCCAGGGTCTTGCTTGGCTGTGCAGGTGCAATCCCAGAGAACTCCCTGTCTTGTAACTGCTGCCAGGTCTCAAAGCCATTGCTGCCTATTTGGTATCCTATAGTGACAACTGGCTTGAATTTGCACAAATTTTCTTTTTTGCTCAAATTACTGCAAGAGTCTCAAGCATCTTGCTGTGGTAAGCATCACAGTCAAAGGAAAAAAAAAGGATGACTTTCTACATTCTGCTTCCTAGCCTCACGTGAGTGTCTCACATTTGGTAAACTCAACCTGGAACCTGGTTCATAAGAGAGTCTGGGAAGCATAATTTTCAGAATTTCATTTCCCAAAACTGTAACAGATCTTTAAAGTGGATAAGAAGGGTTCCGTGTGCCATCCCACACTCTGGGGCAAACCTGAGTCATGGGAACCTGCAGAAAAAGGAGGCTCTGGAAGAACCCATGTGAGTACTCAAGCTCATAACTGGTCATGTAGAACCTCCCCTACCCCTTAGGTGGCCTTTCTATACCACTTCCCTGCCCCTGCATGGATGATCAGAAATCCCTGTTAGGGGACAGTGGTGGTGGTGGTGGTCCAGTGGTTAAGACTGCACATTTCCAATTCAGAGGATGTGAGCTCAATCCCTGGCACAGAAACCTAGGTTCCACATGACACATGAAGCAACCAAAAAAAAAAAATGAATAAATAAATAAAATTAAAATAAAAAATAGAGATCCCTGTTATAAAATTGGGAGGAGGAATGGAAGCACAAACTGGAGAAATTAAAAAAAATGATGCTCCATGCCTATCTATGAGGCATGAGCCTAGGTCAGGGAAGGAGAGAAGGGGAGGTGTAAACTTTGAATGATGTTGGAGGTTTAGACCACTGTGTGAGGTTGGACATTTCCAGTGCTGAACACAGCTTGCTTTTACAACTAGAAGTCAGAAGAAAAATTTATTTTTGTGTAAGAATGATCAAAAAAGTCGTGGGACTTGCCCTAGATTTTATCCAAAGGGCTGCTACCTACCAAGCAGGTTTGAATGGGTGACTGGGGAAGAAAAGAATGAAGTTCACTGATTACATTCTATAAGGTTGGCTCTTTCAACAAAATGGATGTATTTCTTAGTTTATGAAGATAGATTGGAATATCTACCTATTATGGGTTTTTCCCCCTTAATTTTTAAGTATGGGATTATTTGCTCAGATCACTCCTCCCCTCTCTACTTCAGGGTTGTGTTTCTCAGAGTGGACTATCAAGGCGGGGAGGAGGGAACTAGCTCTGAGGAACTGTACTAGGTCTTTGTGCATTAGCTTGTTAAACTGTACAACAGTCAGGAGGAACGTGCCCACACTTAGAAGTGAGGGGAGTGTGCATCAGGAAGGCAATGCCATCTCTCAGGCTGCAGAACTAGGAAGTGGTGAAGCTGGAATCTGAATCAGATTCCAGATGTCTAAAAATGATAACATTATCACATATAGCCCGAGAGACCTCAGGAAGGACAGAGATGCTGTGGAATGCCAAAACATTCCACAGCCTGGGATCCATGAAAGGACCTGTAAGTGCCTATTCAATAGAGACGCTTCTGTTTGTCCACCTTTGGTTTCTAGTGAGGCTGTTTATTTCCTCACATTTCATCGCTTTTTCCCTACTTCCCTCCCTCCCTCCCTCCCTCTCCTTTCCTCTCCTTCACTCCTGTCTGGTAAATTCTCTGTTCATCTCCACTGATGAGGTACAATCCAGCAAATGACTACATTTGATTTCTATCTGCCCTTGGTTTGGTAATACGCTTTTATCGGTTTGCTAACTGACAAATTTGGTAGGACAAACTTGCAGGGAGTGGATGAGTGGGGTGGGTGGTGCGTGGGTACAAACCGGAGTGGCGCCTGGAGCTGGTGTGGTCTCCTTGTCGGGAGGGCCATGGGAACGTGACTGGCGGGCTAGGCCAAGCCGCAAGCCGGCGGAGGGACCCGCGGCGTCCAGAGTAAGTAGCTGGAGCAGAGCGCCACCCAGTGTTGGCGCACCCCTCGGAACATACGTGCCGCTACCGGCACCCACCGAGAAAAGCGCCTACATCCCGCCGTGTATCTCTAGCGCCGTCTACTGGTTAGCAGTGTACTCACTGCGCAGGAGAGACGCTTAAAGAGAACTCCATCTGCAGAGCAAGGTTTTTTTTTTTCCATTTATTTTTATTAGTTGGAGGCTAATTACTTTACAATACTGTCGTGGTTTTTGCCATACATTGACATGAGTCAGCCATGGATTTACATGTATTCCCCATCCCGATCCCCCCTTAAAGGATGGATTTGGAGCTGATTCCAGAGGTGAAAGCCTGAAAAACGGACTTCAGTTCTTGTCTTCTTTGAAGAACTCAGCAGAGATGAAGATTGTGAGGGAAAAAAAAGGGGGGGGGGGTGTTCATTAGAAGCATAATACATGTGCAAGCAGCAAAGCGTGTGTGGAAACAACAGGATACTTTTTGAAGGAGCACACAGGTGAGCTCAGAGTGAGTTGCATCTACTAGGGGCAGCTTAGGTTGCTTATGTAGTGGCAGTTTTCTGGATTTTTTTTTTTTTCTGGCCAGTCATCTCCATATTTGGTCCTGGGGTGGGGCACACCTCTCAGCCAAGATGGATTCCAGCTTGCATCTTCTCCCTCCTTTTGTCCTTCCCCTAGACTGAAGGCCTTCTCTGCATATGTATCCTGGGGGGAAACCCACAAGAATGCACCCAATCAGGCCCAACGCTCCCACTGGTATCCCATCTCAAAGCATCAGCAAGACACCAGTTGCAGGGCTCATCCTGGGGCCTATCTATCTCCTCCATCAGAGCTGCAGGGAAACTGGTAACTGATCATTGTGGGGAAACTGGTAAACCAGTTCCCCAGCTGCCCCCCACACCCCCCCCCACACACACACACTCTTCTCTTGTGTCCATTCCCAAGCACTACCTCCCCTTCTCACAGCCACTAACCTAATTTTTTAAACCACTTTACACCCATTACAATGGCTAAAATGAAAATGACACCCCCAAATGTTGGCAAAGATATAGAACCGGAATCCTCATACATGACTGGTGAATGTGTAGAACAGTCTTGAAGTACTGCTTGATAGTTTCTTACAAAGTTAAATACACACCTATCCCATAAACCAGCAATCTCCATAGGGATTTACCTCCCCAACTACAAAATAAAAACATATATCTACAACAAGACTTGTAATACAATGCTTATAGCAGCTAGAAAATGGGTAATGTAATATATTCATAAAATTGGTATATTCCACAGCAATAAACAGAATGACTATTGAGTCACATGAAACTTGGGTGAATTTCAAAAATGATGTGTGAAAAAAAAATTCACAAAGGAAATAAACTACATGATTTTTCTTATATGAAATTCAAGAACAGGTCAAACTAATCTATGGTGATAGAAATCAGAACAGTGATTTCCTGTCATTAGTGGGAACTAACTGGAGGTGGAGATGAGAAAATTTTTTAGAGTGATGGCAATGTTCTAAATCTTAATTGGGATATTGGTTACATGAATGTATATATTTTTTCTATATTTGGGAAGTGATCTTTTTAATACAGGGAATTTATATTCTTTAGAAGTTAGAGACATTTTTCTAATAATTCCATCAAGTAAAAATAAAGGAGAAAGTAAAACCAGGATTTCCCATTTAGGGGAATCACTATACCATATTGGTAAGATTCTTCCAGACAGTATGATCACAGTGTTACATAAAAATCTGCCTGCAATGCAGGAGACTCAGGTTTGACCGCTGGATCGGGAAGATTCCCCTGGAGAAGGAAATGGCAACCTACTCTAGTATTCGTGCCTGGAACATCCCATGAACAGAGGAGCCTGGTGGGCTACGGTCCATGGGGTCACAAAAGGGTCGGACAAGACTGAGAAACTAAACAACAAATGTAAATAAAGACAGTTTCTTAGCTTATCTAGTATCTGATTATGCAGACAATTTGCTGGCCTGCTACCCTGCGCTTATCTGAGCATAGAGTGAAACGAATCAGAGAGAAGTACCAGGATGGAGAGAGGAGGTGCCATTTGGCGGGAGTTGTCAGGGTGGAAGAGATCAGGCAGGAGCTTGTTCTCCCATGACAAGAAACTGTCATAAACTGTGTGAGAAGGTTTTGTTAGAAGTTACAGACCCTTCTCCACAGAATAAGGGTCTTTTGTATGTGTGCAGTCTCACACAACCATTTTTGTATATGGTTTTGGAGAGCATCACAAAACTCCTGAGGTTCATTTTTAGGGAAGACAAGTTAAAAACAAAATAAGCCTGAATTTGAGAAAACAATTTCAATGAACCAAAACAATTTTATAAAACACACCTGTTCATTTTATCATGAATTTAACTTTGTTCAAGCAATATGATTAACCTAGTACCACCGAGCATCCCCCAGACTTCCTGGTTAAATACCGCTCCCTATTTCCCCATCGGTGACTACCATTCTCTGTGAGCTGCTGCTATAGTTGGAGTGAGACAATGTATAGAATGTAATTGTAAAGTGTTGCTAAGTAAATTCAGTGAGGTACTCAAATCCTGGAAATGAACAATATGACTCTCTGCCTTCCCTGATAATGAGCTGAAACATGACCATGTTCCTACATTTTCAACACCTCTTTATCAAAAGACATGGTCGTCTGGAACTTGTCTAAACATAGGCTTATATGAACTAAGCCACAGTCATGTATAGTTATAATCAAAGAAATCATTTCATGTCTACAGTTTATTAATGAAGGAGTAAGAAAAAAAATTAAGTTTGTGACCGTAGCAGAAAAGAATTCCTCAGGTCCATGTCCCAGTACTTAGGACAGTGCCTGGAATGGGGCAGGGACTAAACGGAGAGAGACTTAATCCTAATGAACTGCTGGATGTTGCCTCATTGCTGGATCATTTCTCTAGAAGCAAGAAAGGGAAAGACCAAAAAATAAACAAACAATAAACTTCACAGAATTTTCTTAGGGGAAAAAAAGTTTTAATTAATACATTTAGCACAATTCTCTTTATAAAACATACTTATTTTAACACCCCGAGCAAAAGCCCTGTCATTTCATTTCCAAAGACAAATCATTTCAGTGCTCTTCCTTGAAGTGCCTGCATGTTCTTCCTCTGGTCTCAGAGAAGGGCATGGGATGCATGCTGCAAGTCGTCAAGATAAAAGTCCAGGAGGGAGAAGTCCTGTTGCAGTGGGTAGCTGTTTTCATCCAACACAAAGAGGCTCTGCACCTTCAGGACACAGGGTGCCCTGCTGCCCGCCAGCAAGGCATGGAGCAGGTCCGCGGCGACCATTCTGTAGGTGACATCAGAGGGGGGCGCTGAGGAAGAGGAAACACGAGAGCTCTTAGTGTCCCTTCCGAGGGAATGGAAATGCTCACATCTAAAGTGTTCATTGTTTCCCTTGGTTTCTTAAGTCCCAAAGCCACTGTAAATATCTCTATCCTTGCTCTTTCTAGCCATAGGTTACTCCATAATGATGAGGTGCAATTCCTGCTGCTCTGAAGAGAAAGCACAAGTTCAGACTGATGGTGTTTCCTATTATGGCACAGCCACTGGCTTCATAAAACAATACAGGAAAGAACTGAGATTAATCTTTTCCTAAATTAAGCTTGAAACAAAACGGGCATGTCCATATCAGAAAAGAACTCTTTATGTTAATCTAGTCTATAGCTCTTATCATGGTTATATATACACATACCATTTGTATAACAGAACCCTGAGTCAGTTACTTAATGAATATCAAAATCTTTTTAAAATATTTATTTCTTTGTTTGTGCCAGGTCTTAGTTGTGGCAGGCAGGATCTTCGATCTTCATTGCAGGACCTTTGGTCATGGCTGTGGGATCCAGTTCCCTGACCAGGGACCCTGTGCATTGGGATCATGGAGTCTTAGCCCCTGGACCACCAGGGATCTTAAGACAAGTCTTCCTGCTCCAAGGTATAGATGGTGAGGATGAAGATGGAGGAAAATCCCTCTATCCCTGGGGGAGGGGCAGAAAACCATCTTGGATCAAGACCATCAGCAGTACCCTGCTGCTGGGAGAGGGGTAGGACCATGCAAAGATACTCAACAAAGACAAGGCAGAGCTTGGCTGCTATGCAGGAGGGACAGGGTCTGTTAGAAAGCACCACATCCAAAAATGAGACACACAAAGAACCTGTGTAAGACTACGGCTGGACAAGAATCAAAGAGAATCACTCCTGCCCCTCTCTCTAGGCTGGGATGCAAAAATGACAACCAACGGAGCCTGCGCAACCTGGTGAGGTATAAGAGTGTAAGAAACTTTGAGGCCCGGGTGCAGGGTGAAAGATTAAAGCTGACAGTGAAGCAGGAATATCTGGAGGAAACTCTCTGGAGAACCACTCCCCACCATGAGCACGCATAATGCTAGATAATTTGAAGCCAGTGGTGACCTGAAGATAACCAGAGCAATGAACAACTCAAATCCGACTCATGGTCTGACAAAATTTACTCTACTCTGCTCACCCCCACCCCCATTAAAAGTCGAAGAAAATAAGCAGGCTCACTTTAGGTATAAATACTGTTCACCTCAGTCTGTATTGTTCTATACGCAATGTTCAATATTTAAGCAAAAATGAAAGCCAGAAAAAATGACCCACTATTAAGAGACAGAGACATCATTAAACGAGATTAACTCATCTGCTTAAAGAGTCTAAGACTAATGAGGAAAGGATGGAGTTTGAGCATCTGACAAATGGAACATCTTCATTTTGTTGTTAGCTACTGATGATCAGCCACTGTTGTTGTACCTATCATCAGAGCTGAGGTTCCTGAATATCCACATGACTGACACTGGACAGTCTTCATACATTTATATAGTGTTGCACATTCATTTACTTGACTATTAAAAAACTAAGAGACTTGTGTTTTCCCTCACCAATTGGAAATTTAGAGTAAGAAGAGATTAGGTACCTACTTCTTTCTCTTCATGTGCTGAGACAGATGTAGAGCAAGTCTTACCTTCCAACTTACATAATCTTGTGTTTTTTTTTTTTCATTGTATCTATGAGAATTCTATTTATTTAAAAAAAATTTTATTTTATATTGGAGTATAGTTGATTTACAATGCTGTGCTAGTTTCTAGTGTCCAGCAAAGTGTTTCAGCTACACATATACATATGTCTATTCATTTTCAGATTCTTCTCCCACATAGGTTATTACAGTGCACTGAGTAGAATTCCCTGTGCTATATAGTTGGTCCTCATTGATGACTTATTTTATGTACAGTAGTCTGTATAGTCTTGTTTTTCACTCAAGCTAAATTATCCTTCTGCTTATATACTGACAGGAAAAGGAATTAATTTATAGTATAGTGTTCCTTCTATTTTAATATACTATCTGTATTCCTGATATGAATGGTTTCACAGAGGACAACCTCTTGATGGCATGTTGTTGATATCTTACCTATTATTCTGTTGAGCCAGTCAGGAGAAATGTTGAGAAGAATCTTCTCTATCAGCTTTGATCCTACATGGATGCAGACCTTACATTTTCCATCAACTATGGTCATTAAAGCTGGCCTACAAAACAGTAAACAGCTCAGGACTGTCAAAAAGATTTTCAATTAAAGAAATGTTTAAATGTAATATAATTTCAAAAATCAGTTTTATAAAAAACATATTTATTTATTTACTTATTTTGGCGGCACTGGGTCACTGTTGCTGTGCAAAGGCTTTCTCTGGTTGCGGTGAGTAGGGGCTACCCCAGGTGTGCTGTGTGGGCTTCTCATTGCTATGGCTTCTCTTGTTTTGGAGCACAAACTCTAGTGCATGCTGGCTTCAGTAATTACCACGCACAGGCTGAGTTGCCCCGAGGCATTTGGGATCTTCCCAGGCCAGGGATCAAACTGGTGTCCCTTGCAAGGTGGATTCTTAACCACTGAACCACCAGGGAAGCCCAAATCACTGGGTTTTTCTGCAGAGTTAATTTTAATTCCTAAAACAACACTAGGATGTCCTGAAATGCCCTAGAAATGAAGGGCTTTTATTTTAAAGAGTTTCAAGTGATAAATTAATAGATTTTATTTATTTCATATTCATTTTAAATTTTCAGATACTAATATAAGAAGACATAATTTTAGAGATAAAGATGATAATCACATATTTCACAATCACAATTTCAAGTTATTTTTTTCCACTGGATTCTTTACCATAAAAAAAACTGTTTTGCATGTCACTAAATAAAGACAAAGGAGTAGATACAAACCATGATACACTCTAAAGAACAAACAATATGAATAAAATGACATGAGTAAAATTATTCTGTTTACTTTTAAAGAAAGCGATATACCCCTTTTTAAAACAAATTATTACAAAATAAACTGAACAGAATTTAGAAAGACTTACCAGTATAGGGGAATTCAGTGTAACCACTAAAACATTACTATTGATTTTCTCTCTAAAAACTTACTTCCCCCTTTATCCACATGATGATTCTAAGTCCTTTTATCTTTTTATAATCTTTCCCCAGGGTATCTCACTTCTTCCATTCTCTTTTTTAAATTTGGATGTGCCATGTGGCACATGGCCCTTCAGTTCCCTGACGAGGGGCTGAACCTGCGTCCCCTGCATTGGAAGCACAAAGTCTTAACCACGGAACCTCCAGGGAAGTCCCTCTTCCTCCATTCTTTATTTCAACAAATATGTGCTCAAAATCTTGTACTATTCAGTGTACACACTGGGTATACACTAGTGAGTAAGAGATCTGCTTCCTTCACTCAAGAAACTTCAGAGTTTAGTGGTATAGAAAGACAATTAAGGTTTTCAATAATGGTGGCAAGATGCTTCAGTGGGGATAGAATAGGCTTTTCAATCAACTGTCCAGGGACAACTGAATAAAAGAATGAAGTTGGACTCCTTCCTTATACCACATATGGAAATTAACTCAAAACAGACCATGAATCTACATGTAAGAGATAACTATAAAATTCTTGGAAGAAAATATAGAAGTAGACCTCCATGATACTGGCTTAGGAAGGATACTTTTCTTAGACATGATACCAAAAGCACATGCAACAAAAAAGAGAAACAAATAATAAAAACTGACAGCAAGGACATGGAGAAACTGCAACCCTCATTCACTGCTGGTAAAACTAAAATTGTGCAGCAGCTTCAGAAAACAGTTTGGCAGTTACTCAGAAGGATTAAAAAGTTACCACATCAACCTAGCAATTCTACTCCTGAGTACATGCCCAAGAGAAATGAAAACACAGCCACACAAAAAGCTATACATGAATGTTTGGAGCAGTTTTATTTATGATAGCCAAAAAGTAGGTACAATCCAAATGTTCATCAATTGATGAATGGACAGATAAAATGTGGTATATCCATATTGTTGTTGTTTTTTAGTCATCAAGTTGTGTCCAACTCTTTAGTGACCCCAAGGACTAAGCCTGCCAGGCTCCTCTGTCCATGAGATTTCCCAAGCAAGAATACTGGAGTGGGTTGCCATTTCCTTCTCCAGGGATCTTCCCAACCCAGGGATCAAACATGCATCTCCTGTATTGACAGGCAGGGATGCCCATATTATCTGGCATTAAAACAAAATGAAGCACTTGACATATGCTACAATATGGATGAAACTTGAAATGTTTTTTAAAAAAAGAAGCCAGTCATAAAAGACTGTACACTCTATGATTATTTATATGAAATGTCCAAAGTAAGTACATCTATAGAGCCAGAAAAACTAGTGGGTGCTCTAGGGTGGTGGGAAGGGAGAATGAGAAGTGGCTACTTCGGGGGAGGGAGAGGTGAAGGTGATCTAAAATTGATTGCGGTAACAGTTGCACAAGCCTGTGAACATACTAAAGCCCTGGAATTTGACATTTTAGATGGGTTACTTTGATGGACTGTGAATTATATCTCCATAATCAGGTTTCTCAGAAGACTATGCAAGTAAACGACTCCAGGTGCACACACAGGGCACTTCAACACAGAACAAAAGAGGTGACTAAAAAAAAGTCTCCCTGATGAAGGGCCTCTCAACCAAGACACAAACGAGTCAGCCTTGTGGAGTCAGGCAGGGGGAAAAGCAGGCGAGAAAGCCCTAAGGAGGAAAAAGTCAGAGTGCTAAAAACCTTATAGAAGGCCAGTATCAACCCAGAGATCAAGGCAAGGAGTGTAGCAGATGAGCGTGATGGGACAGGCAGAGTGTGATGGGAAATTCTGGAAAGGTTCTCAAGGAATGGAGTGGTTACTCTGTTGGCTGTGGAGAATGGACTTGGTGGAGACAAGGGGAGGAGGGGACCATGCACCTGAATCCAATCTTCCTTTTCAGACAAGCAATTTTCAAAGTAAGAGCAAAGTTCATTTACTTATTCATAACAAACATAAATATATGTAAAGAGAAATAAGGCTAATGGATTATGCTTCTATAAATTTTCTTATTTAAAGTATTCTATGATAACATGCTGAACATATTTGCATTCGGTTTTTAGATACTGCAGTATTTAGAAATAGAAAAGAGCACAAAACACCAATTGCTAATCTGCTATCCTTAATGTTTAGTGTGAAGATGAGAAAACTGAGGTGCAGAAAAGTTAAACATCTTACTAGCTTCCACAACTCAGGGGTTGGATCATATAATTAATCTTAGCCTTTAAATTCCAATAATATGTTAAGATGGGAAAATGAGTTTCTTATGAGCCATTCAGAACTTGGTTAAAAATTAAACCAAGTAAAAGGTTTCCTTAGTATATCTGCTTAAAGACAATAAAATCTCCTAATTACTGCTTTTTAAAAGTTCCCGTTATGATTACTGGGCAATTTTTGCTTTCATAAATAGCCATTTTTCCATCACTGAGGAGGAAAAAATTTATTCTCTTGGATTAGCTCCAGTTCTTTTTCATTAGAAACACTTAATATATGTAACTTTCTGGTCATTTCTAGTCCCATAATAATAAACATTTCCCATCCAGCTGGCCTGCTTAGTTGCCTTACCTATAGTACATTTTCTTCATAGTAAACGGCAAGCAGCTAAAACACTGTTTGTAGATCTTGTTCTCATCTGTTTGTAGTTCCAATCCACATTTTGCACAGCCAGTGTATGTAATATTGGGAAGAGAAGAAAAAATACTCTTCAGAGAACTGCGAGCATTTAGAGCTATTTTCTGAACTGCTGTAATGGGAAACACTAGCTCTAAAATCTGGGCTTTGATTAGAATCACTCCTGTAAAAGATAAGCAAAAAGAAATATCATAAATTAGGAGGCCAAACCCAAATCTTTAATTTACAAACATGGTTAATTATATGGTTGATTCACAGTTACTTATAGTAAAGGACACTGAGGTCTTGTTGTTGGTCTTCTCTACCCTTTTGCTAGACAATCTTACTCACTTATGGCTTCAGCATTTACTCTAAAGTGTAAGGGGTCATCTGCCTGCAACTAAGAGTAAAGATTTACTTGGCTAACGTGGTTGAAAAGATGGATGTCTGTACCAGGGAGGGCCCCACAGGATCCTGCTCAGTTTCACTACCAGGGACTGACTGTGTGCTGTGCTGTGCTGAGTCCCTCAGTCATGTCTGACTCTGCAACCCCATGGATTCTCTGTCCATGGGGATTCTCTAGGCAAGAACTCTTCATGGTAAGTGGGTTGCCATGCCCTCCTCCAGGGGATCTTCCCAACCCAGGGATCAAACCCAGGTCTCCCGCATTGCAGGTGGATTCTTTACCACTTGAGCCACCAGTAAAGCCCAAGAATACTGGAGTAAGGGTAGTTCATTCCTTCTTCAGAGAATCTTCCCGACATAGGAATAGAACTAGGGTCTCCTGCATTGCAGGTGGATTCTTTACCAGCTGAGCTACCAGGGAAGCCCACCAAGGACTGACTATAACAGCACAAAGTTTTCATATGGTTTCCCAACAGGGAGTGTATCTCCAGGGCTTGCAGGAATATTCCCAATTCCCAGCCTCATGCCCCAAATGAAGTGAGGATATATCCTTTGTGCTACTAATCATCAAAACTATAGCCACCTAATTTGTTGTTGTCTATATGTTGTTTATTTTTATTGTTAACTCTAATTCTAGGTCTCTAACCCCAGCAAGTAGATGTTTTATGTAAAAGATATGTAACAGGAATTTCCTGGTCCTGTGGTTAAGACTTTGCCTTGCTATGAGGAGGGTGCAGGTTTGATCTCTGGTTGAGGAGCTAGGATCTCACATGCCTTGTGGCCAAAAAAACCAAAGCAATATTGTAACAAATTCAATAAAGACTTAAAAAAAAAAGAAGATAACAGAGTTGACTCTTCTGTGACACCAACTTAAATGTAGCCCCTCTACTGCCTATGGCATTCTTCTTGCAGTGACCATCTTCTTAAGCATGTGAGGCTTCAGAGGCGGGGACCGGAGGGACACATAAGTAGGACTAACAGGTTTAGAAACACACACGGCACTATAACACTACCCAAGATTTCACCAGTTAGTATAAACCTAGAGTCTTCTGTGGCCACTTACTTCCATTTTGGAAAGTTGTATCAAATTTTTGTTTGATGATGTAAAAATCTGTAAATTTTCTATTATCTGTGTTTATTTTCCAGAAATATTATTAATTTATATTAACTGTTAGTATTAAAACAGATAATGACCCTGTGGGACCCTCCCAGCTACAAATTCCTCTCTGTCCTCATTTCTTGTTTGTAAGAAATAGGCTTCATTCAGCCTCCTTGATCTTCCCTGAGTTCCAATTCAGTTACTAATCTGGAAAGGGAGGGAATGCAGAAATGAAGAAGGAGCAGTCAAAAAACAATAGTACACCAGTGGGGCAGGGTCCTTCTCATAAAATATATATAACAGTATCTTTGAGTTCTTCTGCAGGAACTAAGGCCCCCACCCAGGTGGAGGATGGTAACTTCCGGCTAAAAAGCACAAGATTCCTGGAACATTATCCTGTTACCTTACCACCAACCAATCTGAAGAAGTCACATCCTTTCACACCCCAAATATTGCCCATAAAGACTTCTCCCTGAAAACAATCAGGGACTTAGGATTTTTTGAGCATGAGTTGCTCATTCTCCTTGCTTGACCCTTCAATAAACCTTTTTCTGCTCCAAACTCTGACATTTCAGTTCATTAGGCCTCACTGTGTGTCTAGCACATGGACTTACGTTTGGTTAAAGTTAATAATAAATGTTCCCATGTAAAAGTGGGTATATGGAGTTCTCTGAGAATAAATCTCTGTAACTCAATTAAAAAGTGGGGTTTTGTTTTTTAATTTTCTTGGCCATGACTGAGCTCTTAAACCTGTGAAGTCTGACACTAACTCGAAGTAGGTAGCATCAAAATTGAATTGAACTGCACAACACCCAGTTAGTGTTCACAGAGTTGGAGAATTGGCTGTTGGTGTGGAAAACAACAACAAACCATACATTTGATGTCAGAAGTGTTGTGTGTAAAAATAGCTGACACCTGAAAACAACTAAAAACTAAACAAAATGTATGAAACAGCAATTCTCAGGACATTAGATATCAGGCAACAAAGGACAGTGATCCTTAAGAGATGAGAAGCAAAAGATGTAAGCCTAGTAACTGCCCCAGCTTATAGACAAGAGTTTGCTGGCTATGGTATCGGAAAGGAGACCCAGGCAGAGCCTGTGGTTTCCCTGAACTGACAGCAGACACAGGTTTGAGTCTGGAAGGCTAATACGGCTAGAGATATCAGGGTTGGTTATTAGACAAGACAAAGGGGAACTCTGGAGAAAACTCTGGAGCACTGCAGAGGGTACCCCCCCTTGAAGAATTCAACTGAGTACTGACCAATATATGTAACCAGAGGATAAGCAAAGAACCATCCAAAAGTATTGAACAATCCCTGAAGCCTGCAGAGAGATAGGAATAGTGTCTTCTCCCACCAGCTAGAGTGGAAAATCTCATAATCCATAACGTATTGGGTAGAGAACTTAGAAGCTGTACTTAAAGGAAAATTCATGGCACTAAACTACACTGAGAAAAAAACATCTCAGTTACCTCCATTTACACCCTAAGAAATGTAAAAAAAAGAAAGAAAGAAACCCAAGAAAGCAGAAGAAAGGAAAAAAAAAAAGATCAGAGCAGAAATCAATGGACTAGAAAATAGAAAAATTAATGAATACAAAAGGTAGTTAGTTATATGAGCAGATTAATAAAACTGGTAAAACTCCAGCCAAAATGATCAGGTTAAAAAAAAAAAATAGAGAAGGCACAAATTAGCAATATTAGGTAATACCAGTATTACTACAAATTCTATATATATTAAAAGGGATAGTAAGAAAATATTATCACTTTATGCCAACAAACTTTTGTTGTTGTTGTGCCAACAACCTAGATGAAATGAACAAATTTCTTGAAAGATACAAACTATCAAAGCGCACTTAAGAAGAAACAAGTAAATGGAACATCCCTGTATCTATTAAAAGAAATTGAATTTGTAGTTAAAACCTCCCAATAAAGAAAACTTCAGGCCCAGATAGGCCTGAAAGAGTTCTACCAAACATGTATGGAAGAAACAGACCATTAATCTGTTAGAAATTAGATTAGATTAGAAATTAGATCATTAATCTAATTCTAAATAAACTCTTCTGGAAAAATGAAAAGGAAAAACTATACACCAACTCATTCTATGAGCATTGCTCTAACACCAAAACCAGAAAAAGATACAAGAAAACTGCAGACAAATATCCACCGTGATATAGACATAAAAATTCTTATTAACAGATATTATCAGTAATTCTCTGGGCTTCCCAGGTGTCTCAGTGGCAAAGAATACGACTGCCAATGCAGCAGACACAGGTCTGATCCCTGGGTCGGGAAGATCCCCTGGAGAAGGAAGTGGCAACCCACTCCAGTATTCTTGCCTGGGAAATCCCATGGACAGAGGAGCCTGGTGGGCTACAGTCCATGAGTTGCGAGGAATGGGACATGACTTAGTGACTAAACAACAACAAGAACAACAAAAAGCAAGAATTCCCTGGTGGTCCAGTGGTTAGAACCCAGCACTTTCACTGCTGGGGCACAGGTTCAGTCCCTGGTCAGGGAACTACCCTATAAGCTGGATGCAGCACACCCCCCCCCCCAAAAAAAAGTTTTTTAAAGCTTTTTTTGATGTGGATTATTTTTAAAGTGTTTATTAAATTTGTTACAATATTGCTTCTGGTTTGCATCTTGTTTTTTTGGCCTCAAAGCATGTGGAATTTTAGTTTTCTGACCAGGGACTGAAGACAAGCTACCTGCCTTAAAAAGGTGACGTCTTAACCACTGGACCACCAGGTAAGTCCCCCAAAAGAATTTTTACCCAGAATATAAAGAACTCTCAAAATTCAATAAAACAATGAAGCCAACTTTTTTTCTGGTAAGCAAAAGATTTCAACTGACACTTCATTAAAGAAGATATATAGGTGGCAAATTAAGTACATAAAAGATGTTCAACATCACCAGTCAATAAGTAAGTGCAAGCTGAAATTATGATGACCCATTACTACACATCTATTAGAATGCACAAAATTAAGAAGAATGTCCATACCAAATGTTGAGGTGGGTGCGGAAAAAACAGAACTCATACACTGTGGTGGAAATGTAAAATGGTACAACTGCTTTGGAAAACAGGCAGTTTCCTTTTTTTTTTTTTTTGGCAGTTTCTTTAACAGTTAAACATAAGCCTACCATATAATCCAACTATTGATTCAATTCTTGGGTATTTGCTCATGAGAAAAGAAAGACTATATCTGAATAATGTCTTGTACTTAAATGTTTATAGAAACTTTATAATAGCCAAGAACTGGAAACAACCCAGATGTACATCCATAACTGAACAAATAAACAAAGCATGGTATATTTGTATAATAAGATAAAGAATGATTTACTGATACACACAACCACATAGATACATCTCAAAGAAACTGATACATCTCAAAGAATTTGCTAAGTTAGAGATGTCAAACAAATGATTCCATATATATAAAAGCACAGAAAATTCAAACTAATCTCTAGTGACAGAAAGCAGATTGACTACCTGGAAGGATCAGGGGCAGGGATGAAAGCAGATTGACTACCTGGAAGGATCAGGGGCAGGGATGAGGGATAGAAAGAGATACAAAGAGGCAGGTGACGATTTCATGACTGTGGTGTTGCTTTCATGGGTTTCATGTCCATACTTACCAATGTGAATGTACACACTTTATTAAATAAGGGTAATCGCCTATATGAAAACTATATCCTGTTAAAAGAATCCTGTTAAAAAAATTTTTTTAAATCTAACATTCTGAACCAATTTGAAAAGCACTAACTTGAAATGTCCTAATAACTGCATATGACCCAACCCTTACATTTCTGTGGACAAACCAGAAGAGGGCAGAGCTTGCTAGTAAAAAAAACCACAAGAAAGAGAGTTGAGACTTAGCATGTGATATCTTAGGAGTTTCAACTTTATTTGGGATCAGATTCTTTTCATTAGAAAACTGTAAAAATAATCTTATTTCACTTAAAACAATTCTAGCATTTAATGAAATCTAGACCCTGATGCTGGGAGGGATTGAGGGCAGGAGGAGAAGGGGACGACAGAGGATGAGATGGCCGGATGGTATCACGGACTCAATGGACATGAGTTTGAGTAAACTCTGGGAATTGGTGATGGACAGGAAGTCCTGGCGTGCTGTGATTCATGGGGTCGCAAAGAGTCGGACATGACTGAGCGACTGAACTGAACTGAACTGAAAGCCATCTATAATAATTCAGAAAACTATTTATGCAAATTGGAGAATAAAGTTAAAATTCACTGTCAAGATCCAAAGTTCCTGAGCTATTTGTAATAACTCAACCTATAAAATCACCAAAAACAGTCATTTTTTTTTTTAAAAAACAGTAATCTTATACAAATTCTGAGGAAACTTTTTCACCAAATTTTTCTTCATTTAAAAATTTAAATTATATAACAATAAACCTGCAGATACATCTCATTTTTCTCAACCTTTATTTTCCCTCTAAATTTATTTGCTATAATAGCCATTGGAAAGCTTTCTATTAGTTTCTAAAACTGATAATCACTGACATTTACTCATTATTGGCATTTAGCAACCCTAACTATAGCTTTAAATGCTGTTTATTTTGTTATACCATCAACCAGGAGTTAGCATCTTTTAGCATCATTTCTGTAGTTAAGAAGCCAATGCAATTTAGTGGAAAGTATTTGTATTTCCCACTAAACTTGTAGCAATTTATCTAGTTATTTATTTTTGCTATTTTACTCTCTCTTCATTTCAAAGTGTATAGCATACTAAACCTAAAACATACTTCTTCTACTACTTCACTAAAAAGAAATTAATTATATTTTGCCCATGGAAACTGTGTGCGTATGTATATAAAATTTATCAGGCATCCTTCCATGTGGTATGTTTCTGAGAATGAAATTTATACACACACTTACACACACACATATTCAAGGTCAGGAAGTATGTTATTACAATATACAAAGCAGTAAGTAAATTCCATAAATTCTGTATCAATGTTAATTATTTTTTAAAAAATAGCTGTTTATTTATTTGACTGTACTGGGTCTTAGTTGTAGTATGTGGGATCTAGTTCCCTGAGGAAGGATCAAACCCGGGCCCACTACATTGGAAGCATGGAATCTTAGCCACTAAACCACCAGGAAATTCCTCAATGTTAATTTTTAACAATCATGTATAGATGATAGCTTAGTAACTTGATAAAATATTTATCTCAACAGTGATTCTGATTAGAGTTGCTATTCTATTTCTGGCTTATTAAATGATAAGTTACTTATAACTATATGCAAAAAATATTTTTAAGTAACCCTTAATAATTACAAATTAATCTCAAAGGATTATAGGCAGAAAGTCAGGAAGAGATTAGTATCTGCCTCAGCTACTTACAGACACCTCTACTTCACTTTTACATTCAGTTATACATTTTTCCTACAAATGGCAGCTTCTTTGCTTATATTAAAACTAGCAATGTCTTTTATAAATAAGATCTTACCTGAATGCTTTTCCTCTAGGTGTGTTGCTAAATCTGACATCTTCACAAAGGAGGGTATGTTTTTTTGAAATTTTGCTTTAAATGTAATTGCCCTTATATCATCATCAAACAGGCACTCACAGGATGACCATGGTGTTGTATGCAATTCTAGGTTCTCCAGGATGCAATTGCGCTGAACAAAAAGATACTTAAATTCCCAAATATAATCTTAAACAAAACAAAAACAAAAAGTTACCAAAAGGAAATTATCTAGGATTAAAACCAGATTAAACAGACTGATCTGATTAAATCAGTTAAATACAACTTTTATCACATTAAGGAATTTGGATATAAAGAGGCAAAAAATGAATGTTGTATTAAGGCAATAAGAGTGGTAGAGATAATTTTAACAAAATTTTTTCTAAAGATTACTTGGTCTCCTAAACAGTCATAATTTATCATAACCAACTGTTTATTCAGAATAGCAAACTCTCATTCTGATTATCTACAGGAAAAGATTTTTTTTTAATAATGACATAGAAATGAACACATGTTTACCATAACCAATATTACTCAATGATTTTTCAATACCTTAGTTTTCTTATTTAGCTAACTTTTTCGGAACAACAACAAAAAAACATTTAGATTCAGTTGCTCCTATTTTTAATTCTTTCAGTAACAGTTCTGAAGCACAGCAGCACAGACTTTCTCGCTCAGCAATCGGACTGTGTTATGCTTAGTCGCTCAGTCATGTCCAACTCTCTGTGACCCTATGGACTGCAGCCCACCAGGCTCCTCTGTCCATGGGGATTTTCCAGGCAAGAATACTGGAGTGGGTTGCCATGTACTTCTCTAGGAACAATCAGACTATATATTAATAAATTCAACTTTAAAACTATATTAAAACAAAAATAAGTTTCTTAGTACAAAGTCTTCTAATGACAATTGTCTTTTTATTTTCCCACATACTTCAGGTTATAAATCTAAATCACACATCTCATCCACTTCCTCAGTTTCTCTGGACAGCTATTTTTTGGTGGGAAATTTTAAAACAAGTCAGTAAATCTGTATAGACAGAGCATCGTTAGAAAGAGCTAAAGCATGTATATTCCAAGTTATTGCTTAAAACCAATCACTATTTTTTTATTTTTTTTCCATTTATTTTTGTTAGTTAGAGGCTAATTACTTTACAATATTGTAGTGGTTTTTGCCATACATTGACATGAATCGGCCATGGATTTACATGTGTTCCCCATCCCTATCCCCCCTCCCGCCTCCCTCTCCATCCCATCCCTCTGGGTCTTCCCAGTGCACCAGGCCTGAGCACTTGTCTCATGCATCCAACCTGGGCTGGTGATCTGTTTCATCCTTGATAGTATACTTGTTTCAAAGCTATTCTCTCTGAACATCCCACCCTCGCCTTCTCCCACAGAGTCCAAAAGTCTGTTCTGTACATCTGTGTCTCTTTTTCTGTTTTGCATATAGGGTTATTGTTACCATCATTCTAAATTCCATATATATGCGTTAGTATACTGCATTGGTCTTTATCTTTCTGGCTTACTTCACTCTGTATAATGGGCTCCAGTTTCATCCATCTCATTAGAACTGATTCAAATGAATTCTTTTTAATGGCTGAGTAATATTCCATTGTGTATATTTACCATAGCTTCCTTATCCATTCGTCTGCTGATGAGCATCTAGGTTGCTTCCGTGTCCTGGCAATTATAAACAGTGCTGTGATGAACACTGGGGTGCATGTGTCTCTTTCAGATCTGGTTTCCTCGGTGTGTATGCCCAGGAGTAGGATTGCTGGGTCATACAGCAATTCTATTTCCAGTTTTTTAAGGAATCTCCAATCACTCTTTTAAAACAATTTTCTTGTCTTATTATAGAATACATGCTTAGAAATCACAGGTAAGATAAGCAAAGAAATAAATGGCAGCTATAGTCAACACCTCAAAATAGTATTTTAGTGTCCATGCAGTTGTTCTCAATTTGTTTGATTTTGGCTTACTATGTCAAATGTATATTTTATATGTCATTAAGTATTATTCTACATTATTTTAAAATACTACATAATATGTCATTGCACAGGTACACCAAAATCTTAAAAATTATTAGTGCTATCCTCTCATGTTTCTTATTTTTCACTGTTATAAATCTAGTACTATGGTAAAATATTTTTAGTTACATCTTAATGCATAGTCATGATAAATTCCTATTAAGTGTCATTATTAGGCCAAAGGTATCCCAAATTCTAAGGCTTTCACACACACTGTCAACTGTCCTCAAGAAATGTTGTTCCCCTGAAACTAATACACTGTGAGTCAATTATGGGCTTCCCTGGTGGCTCAGATGGTAAAGAATCTGCCTGCAATGTGGGAGACCTGGGTTCCATCCCTTAGTTGGGAAAATCCCCTGGAGGCGGGCATGGCAACCCACTCCAGTATTCTTGCCTGGAAAATCTCAAGGACGGAGAAGACTGGCGGGCAGTCCACGGAGTTGCAGAGTTGGACATGACTGAGCGACTACACACACACACACAAGTCAATTATACTTCAATTAGAAAAAGAGGGGAAAAAAGGGTTGCCAGTTTACATCTTCTATAGTCTACAAGAGTGGTTATTTCCCCATATCTTCTCTACTAATTTCATAGGACAAAAATCAGTTGTCATTTTTATTTGTCTGCCTTCCATTGCTAGTAAGAATAATTTTTTTCATACATTTATTGGCCACTTTAATTTCTTCTTTGAGGACCTGCCTGTTCACATCTATTGCTCATTTATTCTCACAAGTATTTGACTTTAGATTATGCTATTAATTTCTGACAAAATACAATTTCTTTTCTGGTTTTTCACTTGCATTTTAATTTTGCATATGGTGATTTTCATGTATGGTAGTTTTTGTTACAGCATTTTATTTAACTTACTAATCTCTGGGTTCCAAATAAGTTCACTTATATTTTCTTCTAGTACTTTCTGTTCCTTTTTAAAAGTATTTGAATTTCTAATGCATCCAGCATTTATTTTGGCACAAATATGAAGCATAAGTTTAATTTTTATTTCTTCTCAAATTGTTAGATAGATATTTCAAATATATCTACTAATTTTTAAAGAAAAAAATTTGCTTTAATTTTTAAATTATAAAATAAAATGTACTTTTTATAAAATATTTAGACAGTAAAAAAAGGTAATAGGCAAAAAAAGGTAATAGGCAAAGTAAGATTGTCCGTTTCAATAAAATGGATAATGGGTACTTTAGTTCATTGTATTATTCTGTTTGTATGTTTGAAGTTTCATTGTACTAAACGGTTTAAAGAATAAATGCAAATTCCATACATGCATAAAATTCAAAATAAAGATATAAAAAAGTAAAAACCACATAATACTACTAGAGATGGCTAGCATTTTAGTACCTGTATTTCCAGAATTTTTAAAGTGTATATACATACTTATATATCCACTTTTATTAAAATGAGATCCTATTATACATGAAGTTTTATAATCTACTTTTTTTAAACTAAATATTATATCTATACATCTATCCAGGCTAGTGAACATACATATCTTTGATAGTGAATTTGTGTGTCCACCAGACCACAAATGACCCCCTTAACTATTCCCTCACCCACTGAAATCCGCTTACATATTCCAACTGGTACTTTGTTTTTTTACCTTTTAGTACAGCAGGAGGGACCTTAGTTCCCATGCCTCCTGCAGTAGGAGTGCAGAGTCCTAGCCTCTGGACCACAGGGAATCCCCCAACTGGTACTTTTTGACCCTGTCTTACAGGCCACAGTGGACTGAATCAAATTCAAACTAGGCAATCAGATTCTCTTTACTGGGAATTTAGAAATGGGACTGGTCTCTTAAAAGGAAAAGTAAAACAGGAGCTACAGAGTAACAATGTGCTATCCACAATGTTGAGAAGCAGAGAAAGTCTAGAGAAAGTCTCTACTAAGTAAATAAAGCAAATCCATGGAGATGTTGCCTGGACCCAGAAAGCTTTTCTGTTCCTAGTTCCAAGTCCCCCTGAAACCCATCACTCTTGCCCTATTTACTAGGATATACTCCTGTACACTTCCAATATAGCCCCCTTAATCATTTAAGTTAACCATGACGGAGTTCCAGTGTGAAATTCGAGCCTTCAGTGCCCAAGTTTAAATACAATTTCTCAGTACAGCCAACGGACTGCACAACCTTCATGTGCAACCATTTTTACCTGTGTGATTTTTTTCTTATCATTTGAAACAAGCTATTTCCTCCTCGAACTTGCTTCTTTATTCCTTAAAGACAGTGGGAATTTTAAATGGCTGCCTGATCTATATTTTATTCTTCAATCATTTATAAAGAAAGTATCTACTAGTGCAGGCAGTGCTGTGTGATGAGGATACAATGGTGAACAGGCTAATCAGGGTGTTCTTAGTCACAAACTTTTCAACCTACTGAGAAATTTAGTTAATTATCAAGCAAGCAAATCAGCTGGATCATCTGTTTGTGTTAGGTGGCACAAGTGCAATACCAAGAGTGACGCGATAGGGAGTGATTATGTATATTCATGTGTGAGGCCTCTCTGGGGAAATGAAATTGGACAGCCATCTGTGTGGGAGCGCTGGAGGAAAAAGCACTCTAGGCAGGGGAATACATAAATTCAAGATCCCAAAGCAGGAAAAAGTTTGGCGTGTTCAAGAAACAGAAAGGAGTCGAATGAGGGTTAAGCCAGTAAGTCTGAGGGAGACTGAGCAATACCAAGACAATTTGTGATACAATTCTATACTTCAAGCAGGAATTAAGGGTGTGAAGGAATAGCAAACCTCCATGCAGATATAACTGATTTTGCATGAAGCATAATCACAAAGGTTGGGATCACTTGTATTATTCTGTGCTTAATTAGTAATGTCATGAGTGTACTTTATTGTAATCTGTTACATTTTTTAAAATATTAGACTTCTATTAAATGATTTCAGGAGAATATTGCATTGGAAAGGCACCTAGTTCTGAATAGCTTATTTTATGCATACCAAATTATTACCAAGAAGTGTAATTTATGTCCCTAGCCCACCCTCATGAGGACTTTAACTGTAAACAATGCTTGCTGCATATCAGGCATACCAAATTCCTACTAGCAACACATATTTTTTAAAAAACTGGGAATTAATTTCTTATTATTTTTCTCCAAAACATTACTCTTTTGTCTCTAGTATTCAGTAATTACTGCTTGACAATCACTTCTAATTATATCACCTAAATGTGAGTTTGTCACCCTTGGGAACAAGGAAAACAAGGGCCCAGTACACACAGAATAATATAGAGAATGCCTCAAGAAATACTAAATGAATAGACAGAATACTAACAATTTGTGAAAGGAGAATCACTTACTTAAATGATTCTTCAAAATTGGATCTTTGAGGTATTAAGGCAGATATTAAAACTTGAAATATAAATAAATATGCTGAAGAAATGAACAAAGAAACTACACCTTACTTCATGGATTTATAAATTTTCAACATTAACCTAAATATCAAAGAATTATCTAGAGAAAATATACTTCCTCTTCTATTGACCAAATAACTATCAGCTTTAAAGGAATATTCATATTAAGCATGGAGCAACCTGCTTTGCTACAGCTCCACTATAATTGGAATGCCACCTTTGATCTACATTCTGCTCAGCATGCAGCTGACTCATGTTCCTGACCATGACATAGTGGTCAATAATGATGGTTTGTATATCATTAACACATGTTTTTCAGATTTCTCAACCAAACAAATATTTGCCACTGTTTGATCTTAACATGAAAGCCAAAATTCAGACTTATCTCAAATCCTAGTTATGGGCTATTAATGATTAAGAGAGGCAATGTGATAGATCCTTAGATAACTATTTTGAACTATCTAACTATCCTTAGATAACTATTTTGAAATAGAAGTTTGCAAAGGCATATTAACTCTTCCAGGTAAAAAAAAGAATGGATCACATACCTAATCAACCTCTGAATTAGTTTAACAGAGTAAAATAACTCAGAAGCCACTAATTAAACTGTCTCTGATTGTTACAACTAAAGGATCTAATATCAAAATGAAGATGTTACACTATTTTATATTGAAACATCAATTCAGTTCAGTTCAGTCACTCAGTCCTGTCTGACTCTTTGCGACCCCATGGACTGCAGCATGCCAGGCCTCCCTGTCTATCACCAACTCCCAGAGTTTACTCAAACTCATTTCCTATGAGTCGGTGATGCCATCCAACCATCTCATCCTCTTTCGTCCCCTTCTCCTCCCACCATCAATCTTCCCCAACATCAGGGTCTTTTCCAATGAGTCAGTTCTTCGCATTAGGTGGCCAAAGTATTGTAGTTTCAGCTTCAACCGCAGTCCTTCCAGTGAATATTAAGGACTGATTTCCCTTAGGATGGACTGGTTGGGTCTCCTTCCAGTCCAAGGGATTCTCAAGAGTCTTCTCCAAAAGCATCAGTTCTTTGGCTCTCAGCTTTCTTTATAGTCCAACTCTCACATCCATACATGATTACTGGAAAAACCAGAGCTTTGACTAGACAGACCTTTGTTGGCAAAGTAATGGCTCTGCTTTTTAATATGCTGTCTAGGTTGGTCATAACTTTTCTTACAAGGAGCAAGCGTCTTTTAATTTCATGGCTGCAATCACCATCTGCAGTGATTTTTGGAGCCCAAAAAAATAAAGTCTGTCACTGTTTCCACTGTTTCCCCATCTATTTGCCATGAAGTGACGGGACTGGATGCCATGATCTTAGTTTTCTGAATGCTGAGTTTTAAGCGAACTTTTTCACTCTCCTCTTTCACTTTCATCAAGAGGCTCTTTAGTTCTTTGCTTTCTGCCATAAGGGTTGTGTCATCTGCATATCTGAAGTTACTGATATTTCTCCTGGCAATCTTGATTCCAGCTTGTGCTTCATCCAGCCCAGCATTTTTCATGATGTACTCTGCATATAAGTTAGATAAGCAGGGTGACAATATACAGCCTTGACGTATACTCCTTTCCCTATTTGGAACCAGTCTGTTGTTCCAATTCTACTTAATTTAATACTTCATAAATGATTAACTGATGCTCTAATGAAAAATATAATCATGGGTCATACTTTAAACATGAACATTCTATGGGTCTAATAGTCCATGCTTTTAAAACAACTGGAATAAAAACCTGGAACACAGTAACTCATTAAACAGTAACACTGTGACTTGAAAGAGTTAATGCAACTCCTCTAACATCTGCCCTATAACCAGCGAGGAGTTTATTTATCAGAGTACCTTGGCTGAATAAAAATTGTAGAAGCATCTCCAGAATTAAATTTTTAAACAAGATTATCCAAGGAAGGTAAGATCTTCAAACTTCACAAAAAGGTAAAGTAGTATGCCTGGGAATAAATGAAAGCTTCTATTTTGCTGTCATTAATTACAGAGGATTATAGATCATTGAATTGTTTATAGGAGGTAAAAAATTGTAACAAGAAATCTGCAAAAGAATATTCAATCATGCTCAATTATATTTCAAACGTTGTCTGATCTCCAGAGTCCCTTCATCTTAGGCTCATAAGCATTAATCATTTACTTATCTATAAATAGATTAAATGCTTTTTGGTATATTTACCTTTTTTCCTTTGAAGTTGAGGGTACCAGGCTGCTCCAGGACCCCATAATACAAGCACATAATGTTGACCTTGGGTCTGTTCCACTGTTAACATAACTTTCCTTTGCTTCTGTCCTCTATAACTGTATAACGCCTCTGGAAAAGGAAACGAAATATTTAGTTGGCATTACTCTACTGCATGTGATATCATACTTTACTGTCTAATGATAAATATCTACTGATAACCAAATGGTACACTAAGACAGTCCTGTACTTAAGTTTCTTTTAATCAAAATACAGTTGATTTATAGTATCACGTTCGTTTTAGGTATACAGCACAGTGATATACATACTCTTCCTTCAGATTTTCTTCCCTTATACGTTATTATAAAATACTGAGTACAGTTCCCTGTGTAATACAGTAGGTCCTTGTTATATCTTAATTTTTTTTATAACTTAAAATTAATGAAGTAGCCAAAATATTTACCTGTCAGTACAGAGATATCAACAACTCTTAGAATTGCATGGACTAGTATGTCTGGCTGAAGCTGCTCCAATTCTATAAATTCTATACTGCTCATTTTCTGAGGATGCCTCTGAGGAAGATCTCTGAGATAGGAATGTTTTGAAGATACATATGCCAGTAAGTCTTGAAGTACAACATTACTAATCATACTGGAATCTAGGAAAGAAAAAAAAAGACCATATATATAAAAGAGGGAAACATTATATTTTCTTGATAACATGGTATTTTCTTAGAACTGTATTTTATGTTGCAAAGTATGATTAAATGCCAAACACGGTTTCATTTTTATAAAGCATGTAGCTTACCCTTGAACCAATTTAGATGCCAAAATAAGCTTGATGTTTTTAACCAATGGAAATGGAATTATTTATCATCTGCAAAAAAAAAAAAAAAATCTGCCCTGTTCCCTTACTTCTCTATTTCATTAACAGTATCATTTTTCTACCAATTAACCAAGACCAATATTTCAGGTTTTTTTTCTTTTTTTTTTTTTCCAGTTTTTTTTTAATCGGGGTATAGTTGCTTGACAATGTTGTGTTAGTTTCTGCTATACAACAAAATGAATCAGCCATATATAAATGCATCAATTATTTTTTTGACTCCTCCATTACCCTGTTATATCCAACCAGCGCCCTAACCCCTGAAATCTGATTTGATCACGTCTTCCTCAACTATCCCAACCACCGCTATTCTTCTCAACTGTTAGCACTTCTCATCTGAAATACTCCTAACACTCCTCTAACTGGCCCTCCCAGAACATGTCTTATGCTTTCTCACTTTTAAGCCTCTGCCCTCACCATATTCACTGGCTACAATGCTATCATTCTCCTCACTAACCACCCATCTGAATACTGCACAGAAAAACAACCATTTGAGACTCCCAGTGCTAGGGATACAAAGACATGATCCCAAGGCTGAAGAAATTATCAGCCTAGAGGCTGACAACCAGCACTGTGCTTAGGATATAGGCGACAGGTGTAAGCGTTCCTAAGAGCGCACCTAAAGGCCTGCCCAGGGAAGTTGGAAGAGGCTTTCTTTATTGAGGAAATATTTGAGCAATGCTTTGGGAAAATGCATAAGAAAAGGTTTTTAGGTAGTAACTGAGCAGAAGAATATGTTTCCAGGTAAAGAGAAAGGGTTAGTAATCCTTTACGTATCTCAGATGCTTTTGGTATTCTGATAAAGCATATGGACCCATTATCAGAATAATATTTTTATAACAACCTTACTGGAATATAATTCACATACATAAAGTTCACCCTTTTTCTTTTTTTTCTGGCCACACTGTGAGGCTTGTCGGATCTTAGTTCACCATCCAGAGAATGAACATCAGCAGTGAAAGTGCAGATTCCTAACCACTGGACCACCAGGGAATTCCCAAGTTCACCCTTTTAAAGTATACATTTCAGTGTTTTTGCTTCTTGTACTTCATAAAGTTGTGTGGCATCTAATTTTACAACATTTTTATTACAGAGTAATATTTTAAAATTCATTAAATGAAATAGGATACTAAAACAAATTGTATGGAAATACAGTAATCGAAATATTTTTAAAACTGAGGATAACTTATGTGCCTCAATAAAACATTAAATAATAAGATATAGCAGAGTATGAAGCAACTACTATAACTTCAAAGTATGCCAAAGTATCATGTGGATAAATAATATTCAAGTTATCTCCAACAACTATATTGTGATATGAAAATATATGTGCTTTCCATTGGTGATCAAGTCACAAGTATTGAAAATATTACTGTGGATTGTCACCTTATTCATAATGGAAGGAAACGCTAATTTTCAGCAGGCAATTAGTGAAAATAAAGATGTAATGGTTATGGTTAACAGAGATGGGGTGCAGTGAGGGGGAATTGATGGAAGGTAGTCAAAAGGTATAAAGCTTCAGTTATAAGATAAATAAGTACTAGGGGTGTGATGCACAACATGATAAATATAATTAACACTGCTATATGTTATATATGAAAATTATTAAGAGAGTGAAACCTAAGAGTTCTCATTACAGGAAAAATATTTTTTTCTCTTTAATTTTATCATCTTTTATCATCTCATTCATATGAGAATGATATTCACTTAACTTACTGTCATAATCATTTCATGATGTATATAACTCAAATCATTATGTATTATGCTGTGTACCTTAAACTTCCACAGTGCTGTATGTCAATCATATCTCATAAAACTGGCAGGAAAAAAAAGGGATGTAATATCTTCCCATCCAAGTTTATGAATGCTTTAATGAAGAAGAATCAATTTTCACAGACAAAAGTAGAACATTTTAGGAGGGTAATGACCATCCAGCAGATGGTAAGAGCTGGAAACCAGGAAAGACTGCATGAAGGAGAAAAGGGTGCCAGACTTGTGAACTAGTTCAGAGGTAGAGTCTAAGAAACAATCAGATGTGGAGGGTAAAGAAAAGATTGCAGAAGACAAGATTTCTAGTATAGCTGAGTGGATGGATAAAAACAAATGTCCTAAAGTTTCCAGAACCTGATATGAAATCTATTCTAATTAAGGTTACTTAATTCATAAATGGATTTTATAAAACAATGGTGATATCATAACAAAGATAATGAACAAAAAAGAAAAGATCAGATAGCATGAAAGATGAATGAGAAAGAGAGGAAGAATGAAGATAAGACATTATAGCAAAACCCAACTCCAAATATCTCCTTCTAGAGCTCCAGTTTATTCACCAGGTATTCTGATTCCTCTTTCACAATATTTCCAGCACATCTGGAACCAGAAGAACTGGGTTCAATTCTGACTTTGTCAATAATGACTCTTCTGAACTTGTACATAACTTTTCTGGGCTTTATTCTTTATCTGCAGAAAGAGCTTTGGAGGGAGGGGAAGCTCCCTAACATCAAATTATTTACTAATTCTTGCTTCATAAAAATTTGTACAGAAACATTTGATTACTTAGATTAAAAATAAAATAGTCTACTTCATGGAAACACTGTCTTAAAACTTTTATTTATATATTTAATTTAGTAATATTTAAGATAAATTTATATCCTGTCACATTATCAGGACTAAATTCATAAAATTTATAACACTTTACTATAATGAGAAAAGAACAAAAGTTCTATATGTATGTTGATCAGAAGTAAGTTTTCATGAGTTGTAACAACTTGAAAAAATAAAAACCAAAACTGACTTCTTTCAGAAGAAAAACAACTGCAATATTTTCAAAGTGTCAACTGTTAACTATTTTCAAAACAGTTATCTAGTCATACAAAAAAGCCTTAGAACATACTTTATTTAGCTACTAACTTGTGTAACCTGTGAAAAACAAGGAAATATAAATTCCTATATAAGTAGAAAAACAAATTTGAAGTAACTTCAAAAGCTATTTAACTAGCTCAATATTTTTCACAGTATTCTGCAAAAACCTGAAGCTACCCAGAGTTTCCATGGCATATTCTCCATCCAGAATTGGATCCTTAGATCTTCATGAAATTACTCAACTAGAGCAATCTTACTTGAATCCAGTTCAGTCTTTTTTTTTTTTCTTTTTCCATTTATTTTTATTAGTTGGAGGCTAATTACTTTACAACATTGCAGTGGTTTTTGTCATATATTGAAATGAATTAGCCATGGATTTACATGTATTCCCCATCCCGGTCCCCCCTCCCACCTCCCTCTCCACCC